TTGAGTTGGCATTGTACCTTAGTCACTCTTATAATAAGACTCTGGGTTTGGTTTTCGGCAATATCAGTGCTGTTACTACAAGAAATAAGACTTTCTTTCAAGGCACATGTGGAAAGTTTGAGGTCATTTATGCAGCACTTGAGCTTTGACTCTGAAGCCCTGAGCTCATCTCTTTCTTTCACCAGTTTGTCTAGTGAAAGTAGGACCAAACAACCAGCTTCCTTATACTTCTCATTATGACAAAATTGTAGACAGGTATCATCCATGCCATCACCCAGAGCCTCATCTTTCACCAATACCTGATTTATCGGTGGTGATATTTTGCATATTTGAATTGCCACCTCACACCATGGATTAGCAGTGCCCTCCTTACTACCAGAAGCAGAGTTAGCAACATCTTTAAGACTAAGCAGATTTGAGAAACAATTTAGTAAATTCATCCTCGCAGTTTTGTTTCTCTAGAACCACTCTTGGTACCAAATGTCTTAGGCTAGGTTCTCTAGAGAAGCAGAACCAGTAAAGCGTATAAATACATACATAGAGAGAGATTTATATCAAGGAAATGGCTCATGCGATTGTAGACGCTGTAAGTCCCAGGTCTGTAGGTCAAGATAGAGGCTCCTCCTGATTCACATAGCCTCAGGGACTGGCGAACCCAAGATCAGCCGGTCAGAGAGCAGGGCTGTTGCTCACAGGCTGTGAAGATGGATGAGTCTCAAGATCAGGAGGCAAGACCCCAGGTAAGCTGCTAGCTCAGGTCCCAAGAACCAGAGGTCTGACAAACAGGAACCAGCTGCAGGATCTAGAATGAGCAAAAGCCCCCTGATCCCTGCCTGAATGTCCGCCCACACTCAATGCAGGCCACACACCCAAAGAAACTCTCCTGTAACCAACTGGCTACTCACAGCAGATCCCATCATGGGGGTGATCATATATCAAATCTCAACAAGGAAGTGACCACAATATCACATGATGGCCAAAACACTGAGAATCATGGCCCAACCCAGCTGACACACAATCTTAACCATCACACCTGAGTTAGGGGCTGGCTTGAAGGCAGTAACAAGAAGTCTCATGAGCTCACAGTGTAGGGAGGAAACACAGAAAATAACAAATTACAAAATGAATCAGACGGAACCATTGTGGTAAGGGCTAAGAAAAGGTAGTATGCTGACTGGGTTGTTGGTGATGGAGTTGGATGAAAAAGTTTCCCCTGAAAAAGTGACACCTGAGTTGAGCTCTATATTAGTTTTCTATTGCTGCATAGAAAATTACGATAAACTCAATGGCTTAAAATAGCACAAATTTATTATCTCACAGTTTCTGTGGGTCAAAAGTCTGGACACAGTTTAGCTGGATCCTCTGCTTAGGGTCTCACCAAGCTAAAATCAAGGTGTTGACTGGGGCTATGATCTCATTTGAGATCTCATATGATCTCATCTTCCAAGCTTATTCAGGTTGTTAGCAGAATTTAGTTCCTTGTGACTATATGACTGAGGCCCCATTTTCTTGAAGCTGTCATTTGTTCTCAGCTCCTCAAGGCCTCCCTCTCACAACATGGCAGATTACTTCTTCAAAGCCTTCAGGAAGATCTCTCTCTCGGTCCTCTAAGACAAATATTATATAATGTAACCTAATCAAGGGAGTGACTATCCCATTATATTCAAAATTTCTTCCTACACTCAAAGGCAGGAGATCATACAGGGTGTTATGGACTGAATTGTGTTCTCCAAAAACATGCATTTAAAATCCTAACCCTTATGAGCCGGAATTGACTCAACAGCAACGAGTATATCTATGGATATAATTCCACTTGGAATAGGTTTTTCTTTGTTATGTTAATAAGACCATATCAGTGTAGAGTGTACCTTAAACCAATCACTTTTTTTTCCTTTAAACTGTGTTTTAGGTGAAAATTCACATAGCAAATTAGGTTCCCATTTAACAATTTTTATACAACTTGTTTCATGACAGTGGTAACATTTTTCAGAATGTATCAACATTCTTATTATTTCCATTCGGTTTGTCCCATTTTCATTAATCTGGCTTCCCTGCCCCTCCTTAGCTTCTCATCTTTGTTTTAGGGTAAATGCTGACCGGTTGGTCTCATATAGTTGATTATTTAAGGAAGCACAGTATTCATAGGTGATATTATTTATTTTATAAGCCAAGCTATTGTTTGGATGAAAGGTGACCACCAGGACTGGCTTCAGTTCCAAGTTCAAAGAGTATCTTAGGGTGATAGTCTGGTGGGTTCCTTTAGTCTCTATTGATCCAATAAGTCTGGCCTTTTTTAAGAATTTGAGTTTCATTCTGGATTTTTTTTTCCCTTTCTGTCTGGGACCTTCTATTGTGTCCTTGGTCAGTAGTGGTAGCTGAGCACCATCTAGTTCTTCTGGTCTCAGGCTAGATGAGGCCATGGTTTCTATTGGCTATTAGTCCTGTGGACTAGTTTCTTCTTTGAGTCCTTGGTTTCCTTTATTCTCTTTTGTTCCAGATGAGTAGAGACCAATAGTTGTATCTTAGATGGTTGCTCATAAACTTTCAAGACCCCAGACTCTACTCACCAAACTAGGATGTAGGACATTATCTTTATGAACTATGTTATGGCAATTGACCAAGTTGTCCCATGAGGCTATGGTCCCAAGCCTTCAAACCCAGTAATCCCATCCCATGAGGTATTTAGTTATGTCTAGGCAGTATCCACAACTGTGCCCCCTATGTGGTTTATCATATATATGAACATATATGCAGTGTACATAAACATGTATATACATATGCCTACAGATATACCTGTACATGCACCCCTAGATACTCATACGTGCCTTCCTATACACATATATGCATACCAATCACTTTTGAGATATAAAAGGAGCAGATTAGGTATAGAAGCAAGGAAGCACAAATGGGGAAGACTAATGCCATGTGGAAATCACCAAGGAACCAGGGAAGAGAAGCTTAAGAGACAAGGATTTTCCCCCAGAGCAGACAGAGAGAGCCTTCTCCTGAAACTGGTGCTCTGAATTCAGGTTTCTATCCTCCTAAACTGTGAGAAAATAAATTCCTGTTTGCTAAAGATACCCACTTATGGTATTTCTGTTCTAGCAGCACGAGGAAACTAAGACGCAGGGCATGTACGCCAGAGGGTGGGAATCTTGGGGGGTCATCTTAGAATTCTGCCTACCACAAACTCTGGACAATAAGTTAGAGTAACCTGGGTGAAGTGTGAGTTCAAGATGGAAGACGATTGTTCTAGGCAGAGGAGATGGTACTTGCAAAGACCATGAAGCCCCTAGTAACAAGATTGTTCAAGAAAATGGAAGAGAGTGTCGCCAAAGGGGAGAAAGCAGACGGAGTCTGTCACCATGTGAGGAAGAAGAGATAGAGATGGACCACTTCCTGTGCGGAGGTTAAGCTATGTTTGGTGTTGATTCTAAGAACAATGGGGCACCAAGAAAGGACTTTGAAGATTGGACCCCCAGACTCTACATTTGTCAAGGGAGGGACTGTGTCTTGTCAGCTCTGCATTCTAAGTGCCTGACACGTGGTGGGTGCTTAACAAGGATGTTCTGTGATAGCGTTTCAACTCCCTGTTTCTTTGATGGAGACCCTGGGTGGTGCAAATGGTTAACATGCTCAGCTGCTAACTGAAAGTTTGGAGGTTTGAATACACCCAGAGGCACCTCAGAAGAAAGGTCTGATGATCTACTTCCAAAAAACCAGCCATGGAAAACCCAATGGAGCACATTTCTACTCTCACACACATGGGGAATAGACTCCCTGGCAATTGGTGGGTTGTAGATGATAGTATGTATCCATCTTTAGATGAAGAAACCAGGGCTTCCAACCGGTTTGTTCCTGTTCGAACCCCTGCTGAGAATGTGCCTTTCCATCCCAGAGATACTGAATCCGAAACTACATTTTAACAAGATCCCCAGGTGATTCTTATGTATAATAAATTTTGAGAACCACTGGTGTACTAGTGGTTCTCAGAATTCATCCTAACCCGCACCATTAGCATCCTCTGGGAACTTGTTAGATACGCAAATTCTCAGCAGGGGTTCAAACTGGAACCACCGGTTGGAAGCCCTGGAGGAAACTCAGAGAAGATTACAGATCCACTAACTGGTGGAGCTGAGATTCTTCTTCAGTCTGGTTGGACTCCAAAGCCCAGGCCTTTAACCCTGAGGGAATAAGAAGCCAGATCAGGACTTGAAGCTTGATTTGGACTAGAAGGTAGTTCCTGAGTGATCCCGATTGCCTGCAGGCCTGGCGCTGTGAACAAAACCAGTATTTTGTTTTAAAAAAAAACCAAAAACCCGTTGCCCTGGAGTTGATTCCCACTTATAGGAACCTACAGGACAGACCAGAACTGCCCACAGGGTTCCCAAATCTGTAATTCTTCACGGAAGCAGACCGCCACATCTTTCTCCCGCAGAGCAGCCGGTGGTTTCAAACTGCCAGCCTTTCCCTTAGCAGCCAGCTCTTAACCACTGCACAACCAGGGTTCCTTATTTTGTCGAAAGGGACCATGAAATGAAGTTGCCACGCCACTATTCATTCCTGAAAGAGACTCTACCAGGCAGTTAATCCTCTAGTTGCACTTCAGCCTGTTGAAAAACTAAGGTAACTACAAAATGATTAATTGCAGCCCCTTCTGCTCTGCTTTGAACCTATTTCTGGCTCAGCGTCAGGCACCTCTTAGTTTAGCAATCGCAGACTCAGAGATTTCCAGTCCTCCAATTTGAGGTGTTTCTACATTTTGCGGAACGCCCATCCAGTTCAAGGATAAGCGAATAAAAGCGGCGGGGGCCAGAAGGTCGCGGAGGAGGAGCTGGAGCTCCGGTCTTAAACCGTTCTTGAATAGGTTCTGGGACGCTTGCGCCGGCAGGGCAGCGATTCGAGGAGAAAAGGGGCGGGGCGCAGAGCGACTCCGCCCGCCGACCCCGCCTCCTGCCGGGCCCGGTCAGCTGTCCCCCCGCGCCTGCCCGGTTCCGCTGCGCATTGTGGGATCTGTCCGTCCGCGGGGCGGTGGAGGACACGGCTCTCTGTCATGGGGATCCAGCCGGTGAGACCCTCATTCTGTATCGTGCACCAGGGGACCTCGCCCCATCTGGTTCTGCGCACTCACCTCCGGGCCAGGGGCTGTCACTGCGGACCCCTCCCCACAGGGCTCTGGACCCGCTCTGGATGCCGGGGTCCGGGTGCTGCGCATCCCGGGTGGGAACCCTGCCCAGGTTACCCCTCTGGCCCCAGCATGCTCCCGCCCCGGAGCTCGAGATCGCTAACCCCGGGGCGGCTCGTCGTACGGGACCATTGTCACCCACGCCCTGGGCTCTTTCCCAGCGTGTCGATCACGCTGCCTCCTCTACCCACAGAGCCCAGTCCTCCTGGCCTCCCTGGGGGTGGGGCTGCTGACTCTGCTCGGCCTGGCTCTGGGCTCCTACCTGGTTCGGAGGTCCCGCCGGCCGCAGGTCACTCTCCTGGATCCCAATGAGAAGTACCTGCTGCGACTGCTGGACAAGACGGTAAGCTGTTGAAGAACGGGCCAGGGGAGGGGAGGGGACCAGAGTTCTGGCGTGAAGCAGACAGCACCCAGGACAGCATCTGAGGGACTGGAGAGCACCCGATCCCTGGGTGAAACATGTGTCATCCATCCTCCAGACTGTGAGCCACAACACCAAGAGGTTCCGCTTTGCCCTTCCCACCGCCCACCACATTCTGGGGCTTCCTGTGGGTAAGGAAAGTGTGGAGTGGGCTCCTTTCCCTGGGATCCCAAGAGGGTAATTCCCCATCTGGGGTTTCCTAAAACATGCTGCTTCCTTCTATTTCCTGCACACCCCATTCCCCTTTCCCTACCTGGCTCTGTGTCCTCTGGGCTGTGAAGTGCCTCTGTGCCCCTCTAGGGTGTGGTTTCTGTGCCCCCAGCCATCTTTAACACTCAGCAGTCTTCCATCCTTCCTGCGTGATTTGCTCATACCACGCCCTGAGCAAGCACTGATTTTTTTCCCCATTGCCCAGACCCTCAACTCACCTGCTGCTAAGGTCCTGGCAGTGATTGATGTTTCTCCAATGAGAGGCTTATGAGGAATCCACCTGGGGCTCAAAGGAGCGAATCCTCCCTGCCTAGTAGTTCATTGGGACCACAGCAGGAAGCAAGACATTCTTGTTCTCTAAAACCTCCCTGAGTGTTTTGAAAGGTAAAAGGGATGCAACACTTCCACAAGCCACGCTTATGTAGCTCCTTGCATGGTCCCCAGGCACACATGTCTACCTCTCTGCCCGAATCGATGGCAGCCTGGTCATCAGGCCATACACTCCTGTCACCAGTGATGAGGACCGAGGCTATGTGGATCTCGTCATCAAGGTAAGGGGGTAGAAAGAAACTCCAGAAGCTCCTTACCCCTCCCTACTGTTTGCAGGATTTGTAGGAACTTCCAAGATTTGTTTGATAGCAAGAAATGGCATGTCCTTTGTGGATATGAGCAAAGTATGTGGACTGGGAAAAGATAGCACACGTGTGGTCCCTACTCCAGCCTCAGGGAGGTTCAGTAAACAGGGGATTCAGAAACCAGTGACATTCCAAATAAGATATTTTCCATTCTGTCTTACCAGGTCTACCTGAAGGGCGTACACCCCAAATTTCCTGAGGGAGGAAAGATGTCTCAGTACCTGGATAGCCTGAAGATTGGGGACATGGTGGAGTTTCGGGGACCGAGTGGGTTGCTCACTTACACTGGGAAAGGTGTGGCCTCTCTTCCCAGTGAGCCCATCTCCCATTTCTCCAGTTCCTGTAGTCCTCCTGGCACAGTGTGACTGTGTGTGTACTTGTGTGTGTGTGCGTGAGAGGGCCAGAGCTGTCCTTTCTGACCATAGCACTGGTACTATAGAAAGGCATATTACTCAGCCCTGTTTGCCAGAGGGAGCAGTTTCCTATCCACTTGAATTCACCAGCTGTGACAGCTACGGAGATTACTAAAGAAGACATAATGCCTCCCTCCCCCACGCCAAAGATTCGCACCTCAGGCTGAGCTGTGGAACAAGCCAGAGATAGTTTTCAGCCCTTCCCATGGGAGCAGCTGGGTGCGTTAGCAAGCCTCTGGGGCTCCTCTATGCCACTTGGGAAAATAGATTCACACCTGGCACTCTGCCTGTCATCCTCACCAGGGAGTGACGCTCTGACAGAAGCAGCTGATGACTCACCATGTGGCTCTGAGCTGGCTGGTAGTTGGTAATGCGGGACAGATAGCTTTGGCCCCATTGTCCTTCAGGTATATTATTTGTCAGGGCTGGCTCAACTCAAACCTCCACGCAGATTCCAGAATCAGATTTCATAGCAGCAGTTAAACTGGCTTTGGACGTAGTTTCAAGTTTGTATTTGTTTTCTTAGCTCCCTATATTGACTTTGTTCTTCCTCCCTTCTCTTCACCTGGATCCTCAGGGAATTTTAACATTCAGCCCAACAAGAAATCTCCGCCGGAACTCCGAGTGGCAAACAAACTGGGAATGATTGCCGGCGGGACAGGTGTATGTCACTTGCAGGGTCATTCTCTCCCACCACTGTTGATTGTTACCATGGAAACTTCCAAGTGACCTTCAGAAGGTTTGGTAATCATAGCCAAGCTGTTAATCAGGGGATTCCCAGCAATGCCTAGTGCTCCCCAGTATGTGAAAAATAAAATCATAATACAGGTAGAAACAAACCAAAAAAAAATTTTTAAACTGATAGAATGAGAGAAATAAATCAAGTGGGCTCTCCCAAGATCTTAAGTTGAATGAAATTTAATAATTTTTAAGCGAGAGTAGACAGAAGCAGCTAGAAATAACTAGTCAGGAATAAAGAAAATTAACAATGGGCACTGCTATGTATTAGACACTGTACTAGTCACTTTACATATGTATCTATGAAGCAAGTATTTGCCTTCCCATTTTACAGATGAGAAAATGGAGGCTCAGAGAGGTTAAGAGGTTTCCACAGGGTTATTTAATTGGTAATGAGCAAAGGCAGGATTAGTATCGGGGTCTGCCTGATTCCAAAGCGCATGCACTTAACCACTGCAAGTCCAGTGTTCCAGAATGCTCATCACTGAATCAGGAGGTACATGTAGTCATCTATGACCATGCTAGCCTCCAAGGAAGAGCCTTCAATTGGTTCCTCAGAAGGATTTCAACAAAATGAATTTATGTGAATATTGAGGGTGTCCAAAATTCACCTACCAGATATGATTTTCAGTGAATTTGGGATAAACAGCATATCTGTCCAGAAATATAGTGCTAGAGAATACCCAGAAGGAGGCTAGAGGATTAGGATGGTAAAGGAAAATGGAACAGAGTAGTGAATGTGTAGAGTTAAAATGAAAGAGTTGGTCAGCTGAGGAGCTGGGACGGGTGAGTGTGGCCACCACATCTCACTAAGGGTTTCTTTATGCAGGGATCACCCCGATGTTACAACTGATCCAGGCCATCCTGAAAGACCCCGAAGATCCAACCCAGTGCTTTCTGCTTTTTGCCAACCAGGTTGGTTTGCTTTTGTCAGTTCTGGGACTTCAGAGTTGCTGTATGGGTAGAGCTGAGATGTGGTACCAATGGGCAGACCTGGTCCAGTGCCTGTTGTATCTCTGCCCAAGGTCCCCTGTATAAGGTAGAAGACCCTCTAGTACAATAAAGAGGAAAGAGGACAGAGCATTGGGCCAAATTTCTTCCCTGGCCTCCAAGGAAAGAAAAAACATTTAAGGAATCTAGTCCTGAGTATAGAAACTTGTGTCTCCTTGGTTAAATTGTTGTCGTTGTGTGCCACTGAGTTGATTCCAACTCATAGTGACCTCCTGTGACAGAGTAGAACTGTCCCATAGGGTTTCCTAGGATTCCTAGGAAGACCTTCAGTGAGACGGATTGACACAGTGGCTGCAACAATGGGCTCAGACATAGCAACAATTGTGAGGATGGTGCAGAACCAGGCAGCATTTCATTCTGTTATACATAAGGTCGCTATAAGTCGGAACTGACTCAATGGCACCTAACAACAACAATCTTTATAGGAGCAGATTACTAGGTCTTTTCTCCTGCAGAGTGGCTGGTGGGTTCAAACTGCCAATCTTTTGGTTTGCAGCTGAGCACTTAACCATTGTGCCACCAGGGCTCCTTCCATCTTTATTCCTTCACAATGTGTAGATAATGTTTGTTTCCCTCTCCTCCCCCACCCTAACTTCCTAAAAGTGCTATCAGGTCCTTCTTATTCCCTAGAACTTTATGTGTCTTTAGCATTCTTGTTCTCTCCTGGTGGGAAAGTTGTTAAAGAAAATAACTTTTTTTTATGTGGGCCTGAGAAGGTTCCCAAAGACTTTGCTTCCCCCTTTTATTTCAGACTGAAAAGGACATAATCTTGCGGGACGACTTGGAGGAACTACAGGCCCGATATCCCAATCGCTTTAAGCTCTGGTTCACTCTGGATCAGCCGCCAGAAGGTATCCTTCCCATTTCTGGACATTCCAATCTCCCTCATCACCAAAATCAAGGCCTTGCTCCTCTCTGAGCTCTGGTTTCAGTGAAACCAACCCTTGCTGACACTACCAGACTCTCAAGTCTGAGTGCACAGACACAATAGTTTCCTGGACCCTTTCCTTCCAGTTCCTAACCTGTTTACTCGGTGGGTGGCAGGTATGGCTGTGCTGCTGAGGCTCAGCCTGAGGCAGGCTAAGTGTATACCCATCCTCTGTAAAGCAGGCTGAGTATATCCCTCCTCTGCTGAGGCAGGCTGAGAATACTCCTCCTCTGCTGAGGCACGCTGAGTATATACCTCCTTTGCTGAGGCAGGCTGAGAATAGCCCTTGTCTGCTGAGGCAGGCTGAGTATACCCATCATCTGCTGAGGCAGGCTAAGTATACCCATCATCTGCTGAGGCAGGCTGAGTCTACCCCTTCTCTGCTGAGGCAGGCTGAATATACCCATTCTCTGCTGAGGCAGGCTGAGTCTACCCCTTCTCTGCTGAGGCAGGATGAGTATACCCATCCTCTGCTGAGGCAGGATGAGTCTACCCCTTCTCTGCTGAGGCAGGATGAGTATACCCATCCTCTGCTGAGGCAGGATGAGTATACCCATCCTCTGCTGAGGCAGGCTGAATATACTCATCCAGCTGCTGCTACAACTTGATACCTCCTCAGGAGTCTTTTTGGACCCTCCCCAATGGCTCATTCTTGTGGCACCCTACCCCCTTACCAGCTATATTTTCTCCCCTATATTTTAGATTGGGCCTTCAGCAAAGGCTTTGTGACTGCCAACATGATCCAGGATCACCTGCCTGCCCCAGGAGATGATGTGCTGATGCTGCTCTGTGGGCCACCCCCAATGGTGCAACTGGCCTGCCATCCCAACTTGGACAAACTGGGCTACTCGCAAAAGATGCGATTCACTTACTGAGCATCCCCCAGCTTCCCTGGTCCCATTCCCTACAATTTTCCCCAGTCAGTACTCAAATGCTATAAGCCCTAGGTTCCTTTTCTGATAGCATCAGCCTTTTGTGTCTTTCTCTGGAGCTAAATCTGGATGGTACCTGCAGGAACCACATCACTGCAGCCCATGGAAGAGGACCAAGGTGAAGTCGTTCCCTAGAAGGCCTCCCAAATCTCCCTGTGATAAAAGGTCCAGGTCAGGCCCATGGAGCAATCCCTTTCATGGGGTCGGAAAGAAGGTAGCATGTATATTTGTTCCAAGACTGGCTAGTTCTTTGATAGCATCACGGTCCCACCTTCTCTATGATGTAAGGTATAATCTGTGCAATGACTTTTAATATTAGGTGCTTAACCCATGGGCAGGTTCTTCATGTGTGAGTGCAAGTTGAGCGGACTACAGAGGTAGTGAAATTGCAGGAAAAGAGGAAATGGTTTCCTCAGATCTCCAGTCCTTAGAGAAAGGAGACTGAGATAGGTGTTTGTATGCTTCTCTCTCTCTGCCCTTGCTCAGGCTACAGGGAAGTGGCCACCCAAAGTCTAAGACTGCTGTTTGTGGCAGGAACCTCTGGCTATGCAAATAAATGGGGCTGAGGTCCCCGTGTGATCCCTAAAGGGTTGTTGCATCTGGGGTCCTTGTTTCCAAGGCCTTTCGTGCTTAAGAACCTTGGGAGGAAGGGTTTCCCAGCACTGAATTTCTCCTGGGTCTTCCAAAGAGCCTTTAAGCAGTTTTTTCCTGTCCTGAAATGTGAGCTGCCACCAGACTTGGTGATCATCTCAGCAGCTGTCCCAGCAGAGCCGGAAGCTTAACTGCCCTGGGAGGCTTTTGAGGTGGGGGAGGAGAACACAAATTAAAGGGAATGCTTTCTGAGTTCAGGTACCCCTCACAGTGAGCCTTTGATTTAGCCACTTGTCTTAGTCATCCAGTGCTGCTATAACAGAAATACCACAAGTGGATGGTTTTAACAAAGAGAAGTTTATTTCCTCACGGTCAAAGTAGGCTAAAAGTCCAAATTCAGAGTGTCATCTCCAGGGGAAGTCTTTCTCTCTCTCTCGGCCTTCTCATCAGTGTTCCCCCGGACTAGGAGCTTGTCTGCGCAGGGACCCCGGTCCGAAGGACGCACTCTGCTCCCAGCACTGCTTTCTTGATGGTATGAGGTCCCCCGTCTCACTGCTCACTTCTGTCTTTTATATCTCAAGAGATTGCCTCAGGACACAATCCAGTCTTGTAGATCAGGTCTCCTTACTGACACAACTCCCACCCATCCTCCCTCATTAACAGCATAGAGGCAGGTGTACAACATACAGGAAAATCACATAGTACCAGCAATCATGGCCTAGCCAAATTGATACATTTTTGGGGGGACATAATTCAAACCATGATACCACTCTTCCCTTTGTTCCTTCTCTTGGCCCTTCCTTCACCATATTTATTATCCCTCAGGATACCTGGCAAACAAACCAAAGTATTGTGTTTCTGTTTGGAAGAGAAGCCTTCTCCTTTAAAAAGTAATCTGACTTCACCAGCCCCAGCCAGACTTGTTGCCTGGACAGAGTTGCCTTCTCCCAGGCCCATCTGTCCCGAGCAGTGTCCTTCTCCTCTGCTGTGACAGCATGACCCACTCCTTCTCCTGGGATAGGACTAGGGTAGCCCCTTCAGTTTCTTCTGTGTTAGACTCAACGGGACAAAGCAATGCATCAGGCTCAGGAGGAAAGTTGACATTGTTTTTCTGCATGGAGCTGTGTATTACTTTCTCTGGGGCCCCAGAGACACAGGCTTGTGGGACTATCAGAATTCACCCCTTCATAGGAGCCCAGGGAGGTCCAACCATAGGCTAGAGTCTTCAGTAAATTCTGTAAGTGGTTATCCATCAAAGATTTCTTTATCAGCTATTATGTGTATGGCACTGTGTTCTGTAAGACTCAGTCTCAGTCCCATCACCTCCCAAAAGGAAAATTTTGCTTAGGGTTGTTGGGCTCAGATAGTGGAGCAGCCCAGCAAAGAGAATTTCCCACATGGAAGCTCACCATTCCTTGTTTTACATGGGTTTCTGCCTCATCCACTCAACATACAAACATTTATTAAGGACCTGTCATGTGCTAAGCACTATGCTAGGCCCTGAGAATACAACTGTGACCAAGATTGGTCTTGAGTCCCCTCAAAGAACTCACAGTCTGAGTAAGATGGACCAGTAAATAATTACAACACAACATGATTAATGCTATAACAGATATACAAAAGGGTGCAGATGGGGCCTTAGGAGGGAATTTGAAAGGATTCCGGAGAGGAAGGAAGAGGAGAAAGAGAATTAATAGTTTTGAGCAACAGCCATGGACCAAGTACTGTGCTTCCCAATCTGCACCATATAATTTAATCTTCTTGATGATCCTGAGTCTAAGTTTAAGGATCTGCCAAAGGTTATACAGTTGATCAGTGGCTTGCAGAGCCTGAATGTGAACCTAAGATTGTCTGAGTCCAAAGCCAAACCTAGAACTAAGCATTTTAGATCTTCAGGCAGAGAATGGGGGCAAGGGCAGGCCAACAAAGGATCAACATGTGCAGAAGCCCAGAAGGATGAAAGAGTTTATATTTAGAGGACTAGAAAAAGTTCATTCAGGCACAAGATGCAAGAAGGAAAGTGGAGAAAGATGAAGCCTGAGAATAGGTTGGAGCCAACTTCTAAAGGGACTTGTCATGCCATGCAGAAGAAGCTTGAACTGAATTCTGTGGACAATAGGAAGTTTCTGAGGGTTTTCTGCATCCTGGCAAAACAATAGCTAATGTTTATGAAGCATTTACCATTTGCTGGGCACTGTACTAAGAACCTGATGAATTATCTCATTTAATCCTGACAAAGGCCCAAAGAAATAGCACTATTTTCGTCCCATTTCTCAGATGAAGTAATTATCCTTTGGAGGGGTTCAGTAACGTGCTCAAGACCAGAGCCTGGCCAGGGGCACAAACCTGGGTCTAGGTGACTCCAGAGCCCATGCTTTTAACCAGCAAGCAGACAATTAGGCCCTACTGCCCTCAGGCAACTAACCCTGGTGGTGCAGTGGTTAAAGGGCTCGGCTGCTAACCAAAAGGAACCCCCACCAACCACTCCGAGGGAAAAAGATGCAGCAGTCTGCTTCCACAAAGATTTACATCCTTGGAAACCCCATGGGTAGTCCTACTCTGCCCTATCAGGTCATTATGAATCGGAATTGACTCACGGCCATGGGTTTTTTTTTGGCCCTAAGGCATCCATTGTAAGTAATGAATGACCTCTCCCATCTAGAATGGAAGTGGTTATGTATCATCCTTGGGAGAATTGAGAAAATTGTCCGTCTCTCAAATCATTTTGTGTCCTGTGGTTCAGATGAGGGTCACACCACACTGTATTGTCACTGACACTGAGTGCCACCACTCTGGCTGCAATGTAGGATCACGAGCTGGAGCTGGGAGCTTTCAAGTAAAACGAGTTGGAAAGGATTCCACCATTTCTAACAAGAAATGATAGGAGCCAATACTACAGTCTAGTCCGCCGCCTGTCACACATTAGGCACTCAATAAATATGTCGAAGGAAAGGAGAATGGGACCATGAGGTTGAAGAAGATGATTAGATGTGGGGAAATCCAGCTTAGATGATAAGGTGTATGGTAGGGAATTCAGCATTCCTTCCCAAGGTTCCTTCCCCGAAATTCCTTCATCAGGCCCTCTGGTTTGTGATTGGGGGTGAGGATTGGAGGTGGAGTTTGGAATTGGACAGTGAAAGGCCAGAGCCCGGGTCGTCTGGTTGATGATTGGAGCAGAGCAAGGAGGCGGGGCCTGCGGTGGGAGGCAAGACTCGTGGTTGGTGCCGGGCCCCCGCCGTGACGGGGCGAAGCGGGGGCTGGGGAGGCGGGGCCGGCGGAGGTGGGGAGCCCCAGGCGCAGGGGTGTGGCGGAGAGGAGCGCGCTTGTGATTGGGACTCCGGGAGGAATGCCTGGGATTGGAGGTGGCGCCGCTGCGGAGGTGACGCCGTGTCGTCGCGCCCCCCTTCCGGCGCGGGGAGGGTGCTGAAGATCCGGGGCCGCTCGGCCACAGGCCGCCTCCCGAGCCGCAGGATGTAGCGCCGGGGACCGCGGCCCCCAGCAGAGCCGGCCCGCCAGCTCGGCCGTAAGTGTCTCCGGGGCTGACGGGGCGAGCGGGTGGGCGGGAACTCGGCCAGGACGCCGGGACCCCCGGAGCCTCGGCCCAGGCCTGTGGAGTGGACAGCGGTAGAGGTAACCCAGCCCAGACGTCCCTAAGGTACCCAGGGTCTCGAGGTCCCCGACCCGGCTTCTGCTCCGTCAGGCTTGTAAACATTTCCGGCCCCTCCCATTGCGCGCCGCCTCGGAGGCGGCCTCAAAAGCAGTTTAAGTGCCGGTGGGCTGCTGGTTCCCCGCCTTCACCCCCGGCTCGCAGCAGTCCTGGTGACTGCTGTGTCCCATCGGCCCGCTGGGGACTTGAGAGCTCTGGGTTCAGGCTCAGAGTCTGGACGGGACAGGCCGGAACTAAGCCTGGTCTCAAGGCCGCGGCGCCAGGCGAGTAGGGGCCACAGGCCTGGGTCGCAGAACTGCCTGTCTCAGCGGGGAGCACCCGCCTTTGGTGGTCTAGGAAGCCCTAAGGTTTCTCGACCCACAGCCTTTGACAGGTCAAACCGTGACAGTGCCTCCACTTTGATAGGGGAGAAGAGGCCGGTGGAAAATGTACAAGGTTAAGGCAATCCTAAAATGTGAGCAGAATCTAAAGTAATTTGGGGAAAAACGGGATTTCATTCTCTCCGAATTCTAGGATTGATGTTTGAGATGTTTGGTCTTCAAACATTCTATTTTTAAGAAAATAAAATCAGATATTTTCCTTCAGTTTCTGGTGCTTCGTAGGAGAATGGGAAACTAAGGCTAATTTCAGTTTACACGGTTTCAGATGTCAGAGGAGTAGCAGGCGGCCATGGTACTTTACTAGATTCACCATAGTATTTGCCCAAGTATTTAGAAGAGAGGCTTGAACACACAGCCGAGTATATAGGCCACAGTCTTAAATCTGAAGACTCCAGTGGCTGGTGTTTCTTTTCTGCAATGAAATAATTAGTGGGATCTGTTCACTTTTTCTCTCTTGATAGTGATCAGGTAGCCTGTAGTGGCTGTTCCTGAGGTTTCATAGTACAGTAAGTGTACAGGGCTAGTTTAGGTTGGGTGGGGCTAAACAGATTGCAGTGTCAGGGTAGGAGTTCCCTGCTTGCAGCTACTAAATTTGTCTATTCCAGGAGTAACTTCCGTGTACCCATACTGTTGTTGTTACTTGGGGTATCAGTCTTAAAAACTGGTGTTACCTGTGAAAGTCCATCTCAGGGTTGTTGTTAGTTACCATCGAGCCGATTCTGACTCATGGCGACTCCAGGTATGCAGAGTAGAACTGCTCCATAGGGTTTTAAAGGCTGTGACCTTTCGGAAGCAGATCACCAGGCCTGTCTCCCAAGGCGCCTCTGAGCGGGTTGAACATCTTAGGGTCCAACCCCATTGCCATCCAGTCAGTTCACATCTTAGGGTAGACCTCCACAAAACTACACCTAATTACAGAGTAGACTCTAAAAGCATTCTATTCTAAGTGATCAAGAAATCACATGATTCTAAGGGATTTTTTTAAAAAGTCAAGTGACCACTTTGCAAGTATAAGAAAATCTCAGACAGGTAACAGGAAGCAACATTAATCCACGAGGCCCCCCTTTGTTTATGGATAAAGTACACTGCGTTACATAGGCTTTTATGTTGTCTTCAGGTTTGCAGTGTGGCCTCATTCTATTTAAGAAGATTCCCTTATGGAAAATGGATTATTCACCGCCCTGGGGCAGTGTTCTTTCATGCCTTTGTTCCTGCCACTGTACTCTCCTGGAATACCTTACTATTAAGAGCCTTTCTTAAAATCTTCCACAAAACCTTTCCTGATCCCTCCAACTAAAACTGAGCTCTGCTTCTTGAGTTCTTACAGCACTTAATGGCACTTGGCCTTATAGAAAATAGAATTTATTTCCCCCTCTTAAAAGCCAGCAACTATGTCAACCTGTAACTCCTCTCTTTGCCTTTTCTCTGTAGCCACAAGGCAGTGCACATTGTAAATAGTCAACAGATATTCTCAGATGAGTAAGGGATAGAATTTGCATCTTCCTAGGCCAGTAAGTTTGTTCTCTATTTGTTGGAAATTTCCTTTGACTCCTGTATTATAAAGCCAAACTGAAACTCTTTAATACTCTTGGTACATTATCCTCTCCTGTCTACTGTATTTGTGATCACACTAGTGAGCTAAACCGTCTTTAAATCCAGCAACTTTGTTAATTATGGTGATTTTTCTTCTGGTGCCTCTACTCATCATCAAAGTTGTTACATTTTGTCCTTCGTGTCCATGTGTCCCTGTTGTCACCCACCCCACTTTGTTCCTCTCACTAAGCTCAAAGTTGATTCCCTTTTCCTGCTCAGTAATGTTGGGGGTGTGATTAATGTTTATAAAATTTGTAGCTATCTTGGATTGAACCGAGCCTTGAAAATGCCCTCTAGCCAAGCCAGTTCCAAGTGATTGGTTTTTAGGCATGCACCTAGTTTACTTTCGTTCACTGGAACTTCTAGGCTATACAGCATAAACCGAGTGTTATATTGTGCAGTTGTATTCATATATCAAACCAAAAATCCATTGCCGTTGAGTCGATTCTGACTCATAGCAACCCTCTAGGACAGAGTAGAACTGCCCCAAAGGGTTTCCAAGGAGCAACTGGTGGATTCGAACTGCCTACCTCTTGGTTAGCAGTGTAGCTCTTAACCACTGTGCCACCAGGGCTCCATTCATATATCGGTAATCTGTAATGTGCTTGAAAGGTAGGTATAAAGATAGGGACTGGCATGAAACTCCTTCATATGCCTGTTTACTTTTTTTTTTTTTTTTGGAAGTCATGGCATTTGGAAAGCTTACCTGTCTCTGTTCGGGATGAAAAAAAAACTCTTCCTTCTGCTGGGGTAGCTTTAACTGGGAAAGAGCTGCAAATGAAGTTAGAGTGTGATTTTCTATTTCAGACTCTTAAGTCAGTGACCCATAGCATCAACTAGGAGAGCTCAGGCCCCATTACTGTATTTTGGTAATTTTCAAACATGGGTCTTGACTTGTTTTTCAGCAACAGTGATACAAAACTACCCTCCCTAACAAAGAGAGTCAATAGATGAGAAGATGGCTGTGTTGTTTCTTTGTCTTTACTGCTCGACTAGTCTTTTAGAACAGTGAGAATCAAGGTAGGCATAGATAGAACCTACCCGTGGACTCTCTAAGGGCCAGGGACGCCAGGTTAAAAACCCCTAGAAGTTTTGTGCCTTTGACTCCAGGGAAGGATTGTGCTATTCGTCTGGAAAACTTGAGAACTGGTTCACAGAATAAATGTCTCAAAAAACTGCAAGGGAAATAAATTCTTCAGAAACTGGCTGGTGATTAAGAATCAGTCTTTTCCCAAGTCTGGCACAGGATTATCTTATTTGTAGGGTCACAAACATCTCCCTGCCTCCACAGCTTTACTCTAATATCCTAGTTTTAACCAGTTGGAAGCTTTGTGGTAAAGATTTATCAGCTTGAGTTGAAGAAATCCCATAAAAAATGTACTCAATGGGGTGGGGCTTGATTATAATTTGCTATGTTGGGTGTGGCAAGTTTGAGGGGAAATGTGTTTCCTCTAAAATAAATAAGACATAGAAAGCTGGCAGAAGGTTGAAGAAGTATATTTTGGCTCTCCTGAGTGCTCCCAGAATCCATCTAACACCTTAGGAGTTTGTACTGATTTTATATAATAGAGATAAAACACTTGTTTGTAATTCCCAGTTGTTTTTGAATGCTCCCCCCATCAAAACTGATATTAAAGCCCTAATATTATTGCTCTTCTTTCTTGCTAGACCTCCATTCCCTCTCTCTCCCGTTCCTGTCTCTGTGTTACTACAGTCTAGAAGACCAAACTGGACAATGGGTTTTGCTCACTATAATGACATGATCTCCATTGACCTCCATTGTATGTACTTTAATGCATGATGACATATCTTGTATGATGAGTTGTAGCTGATGGCTGGTTTATGAGTTAACTAGTGTCTGGCAGGTTTGGTGACTCTGGATCTAGAAAACAATGCAGAGGGATGAAAGAGCTAGTGATAAAGGATCTGGATGGAACCAGAAGAATCAGCAGAAAGTGATTTGGCCTGAAAAGGAAAAAGACTTTGATGATGGCATAGGGACTAAAATCATCCTAAGAAAATACTAGACTTGAGGACGTAAGAAAGACTTTTCAGATCAAATTAGGAAATGAGGAAGCTGGATTAGATGCAGCTGGATTCTGCATCTAATCTATGGACTCTAATTATCTAAAAGTTTGTCTCTATTATTCTCACTGTCTTTAGTAAAATATTGTCAGCACTCAAAGTAACTGAACTAGTTGAAGTTTCCCTCCACTGCCCTCCCAGAACAGTGAAATTGCATCATTTACTTTGTATTTAACACAAACTACCTAATGCCATCTGATTGTAGGCTCTTTGAGGGAAATGACGTAACTTGTTCAACTTTGTATTTGGACGTTACCTTAGAATGACTTAGGGTGCTAGTACTAAATCCATATGTTAAATATTCAGTGACTGTGTTGACTGACTCTGGGGAAAGAAATAGGAGAAAGCCCCACAAAGCACAAGAAAAAGTGCACAAACCCTTAGCTAGAGGCAAGTAATAAGCTTGCTAGCTGGAATGCTGCTCCATTTGTTCATTCATTTATTTTGAAATACAGGGTCTGACCAAAATTAGGGATATGTATCAATTTATGATCCATGTAGTACTGCATCCCAGAACCTGAGAACAAAAAAATTCGGGGGTGGGGGGAGGGAGGGCAGGTTCTCTAAATTATTGGTGGCCAGTATTCTGAGTTTGATGTGGTGTGGTCTCCTTTCCAGATTTCTCCAGGATGTCCAAAGCTATTTATAGTTTTTGCTGACAGTGTAAATTTTTTCGTAGTAAAGCTGTTTATTCGGTAGTACTTCATTCTGAGGAAATTTTTTTTTTGTGGTTAGCCAACTGAAAAAGATATCCTAATGTTTCTTCTCACGTGGGCTGCCTATCACCTGAGGTTTTCACGGGCCTCCAGTTTCCTGTTCTTGGGCTCGATTGTTGACTGTGTGTGCTGGCATCCGTCTTGTCAGCGTCTTGCACATTTAAGGAAGAGGAACTGGCAGTGTGATGACACATCTAAACGTTCACCATACAGTGAGTTACTGCTTTTGTCTCTCTTGGACTAGATTCGCCTATTGCTCTCAGCTGTGTTTGCGTGTTGCACATAGCATAACTGCTCTGAAATTTGAGATGGCTCTTACCTGACTACATATATCCAAGTATAATTCCTGAGAAGGAGTTTTGTTTACTTAGATTTAAAAAAAAAAAAAAAAAAAACTAGTAACTTACAAATAGTGAAAATCTTTGAACACTTTTCTCCTCTTCCCACTGTTATTTGCTTCTCTGAGGTCTGATTAAAGACTACTACCCAGAGTTCAACCCAGGAAAAAGTTGATGTGTTTCTGAGACTTTTCCTAGAAAACGGAATTCTGGGTTTCTCTGGTTTTCCTAAAGGATCTGTGTACATAGATCGGGTTTCTGAAAAACTAATCCGAATGGAGCTCAGATGATGGGCTGCAGTGGTTGGGACAAGCTCTTGCAGAGCAGGTTAGGTGGTATGTGTGTGGCAAAGGGTAAGGCTGGGGCTGCCTCCTTGTCTTCAGCTTCCTGCTTCCAGGTAAGCTATTGCTTGCTTTAAGGAGCTTGTGATTAAAGCCTGTTACCCAAGTGTTGCACCCAGAAGTATAATCCTATAATAGCGAATCAGTAGACTTTGTAGAGAAATTAACCACTGGACATCCAGCCCACAACCAAGCTCCTTTTGTATACAAAGCACATTTGTCAGAGCATTTGTAGATAAAACCTAGCTGAGTTCCACTGGCATTTAATTCCTTTCTAAGCTTGGGTGGTCTTGTAGTAATTGCAGTCAGGTGTTGGCTTCATAGTTTTGTTCCTCCATCACAGAGCCAGGGCTTTGCTAGGCAGTGTGAGCTTTTGGAATGGTGGACAAGAATCTTCTTAACTCTTCTCACCTAATGGGTGTAGACCTGTGAGTGGAGGTCTGGATCCCATTTAGGATGCAAACCTAAAGAGGAGGGTCCCCTAGGAGGGTGAGTAGCTATTTTTCTGTGGTGACAGTTTGGTGCAATAACTACAGATCCTTTGAAGGCAAGCAACTAGGTGTTATTATTTTCAGCCTTATCTGTGAGGCTAGTGAGGTTCTGGGTAAAGGGTGATAATGAAGTGGGAGGACAAAGAATAGATTTCATTTCAGCAATTAACTGGTCTTTAGAGTTGGGGACAGGGTGGGGGTTGTTTAGCTGTATCTTATTTCATTCAATATTTGATTGTAGAAGTTAAACTGTAAGAGGAATAAATCGTCAACACCCTTCCTGTCTGTGTTTGCTTGTAGTGTCTAACACCACAGGGAGATCTCTGCCCCCTGGGGCTGAGAGGCCCCCACCTTTCCCCAAGCTGAAGCTGCAGGGTATTGAGGTACCAGCCAGATGTCTTCCCACAAAGGACCTGTGGTGGCACAGGGCAATGGGACACCTGCCAGTAACAGTGAAGCTGACACGGTGGAACTGGCTGAACTGGGACCCCTGCTAGAAGAGAAGGGCAAACGGGCAATCACCAATCCAACCAAAGTAAGTCATCTTCCCAGGAGTCATTCCCTTGACCAGTCTCTCTCCTTAGGCCTCTGGCAGTCTCTGTGTTTCAGAATATCTCACCATCCTCCCAAAAGGAGGAACCATAGCACCCTGGGAACATCCCTATCCAAGTTCTTATCATACTATGTTTGTTTTCCCCTCTGTAAGCTTTTGTGAGTTCACTCATCTCTGTAACCCCAATGCTTAGCACAAGGCCAGAAATCCTATAAGTATGTAATCAGTAAATATCTGACTGAGAAAGAAGCCATCAGGTTTAGGTAGAACAAACAAACAAAAATCCCTATAGCTTTAACAAGGTTGAAGTCTCTCTCACATAAGAGAATTCTGGAAGTTATCAATCCAAGGCTGATATGGAGGCTCCACTACTGGCAGGGATCCGGGCTCCTTCTGTCTTGCTCCTCTGTCATTCTTAATATGCTGCCCATCATACCCTCGTTCTAGCCACTCTGGAGGACGAAGGGGGAGGAAGGAGAAGGGCTTGCCTTTTCCGTTTCAGAGTACCTCCCGACCCTTCCATTTATATCTCACAGGCCAGAACTCAGCCACGCAGCCATATTCAGCTGCAGTGGAGGTTAGGAAATACAGTCTTCTCGCTGGGCACAAATCTAAGAGGGACCAGTTATTTACCAGGGACCATCAACAGGAGAGAGAATAGCCCAGAGAAGGAACTGAACTGTCAGGCTTGCCATCTGCATAGGGTGGTGCCTTGGGACAGAGAGAAAAGCTCCCTCCTTGATAGGCAAGCCGCTCTCCAGTGTGCACGCTGATGTCAAGGCTCCTTTGGGCACAGGAGTCAGTGCTGCATCTTTCCATGGAACCAGTTCTAGAGCCCTGATAACTCCTGGGAGCTCCTATGGATACAAAGTTTCAAGTCACTGTAGCTTCCCCAGAGTCCGTTTCTAGAGAGCTATTAACAAAATTAAATTGTTAAGGGAATTTCTGAGACTCAGTGTCTTTTTTATTGTTTTGAGAATTCAGTGACCTGGAAGAGGGAAATAGTTGGAAAATTGGGGGAAAGTTGAGAACACTGTCCTAGAGAAAAGGACAGGCCATTCAGACGTAAAGCACGCTTAGGACAGGTGTGCTAATTCTGTGTCCCTCAGATGCCAGTCTTGGTCTGAGTGTCTCCTGTGTGCTGAATAGAGCTTTCACTCCAGCATTTACAGAGTTATTAGTAAACTTCCATCTATACTGTTGTAAGCTCAGTCAAGTGTTTTTTGGAGAAAAGGCCACATGACCCTATGTTGGAGAGACAGTGTTGAGTTGCGTTTCTCTGGAGCTCTCTGACCTTGGATAATACTGTTTACGGGATGACTGCTAGGGTTGGTTGGTTGGTTGGTTTCTCCTACAGACTGAAGAAGAGCAAACATGCCCAGTGCCCCAGGAAGAAGAGGAGGAGGTGCGGGTACTGACGCTTCCCCTGCAAGCCCACCACGCCATGGAGAAGATGGAGGAGTTTGTGTATAAGGTGCAGCCTAAGAGCTTCTGTCCTGGAAAGGGGAGGGAAGCAGGGTGCTGGGATATTCCCAGCAGGCAAGGCTCCCCATTCAGAGCATGCGTTGTGTTGACAAGCTTTTATAGCTGTGGATGGGATTGTGTTTTGCTGAAGGTGAAATAAATCAGGTGGAAGGCTGGCTAAACTTATACTGCTTGCTGTGCTAGGCATTGTTCAAAACATACTCAAAAAACGGGTTCTTAACATTTGTACCATGGATCCCTTTGGCAATCATCAAAATATTTACATGTGATATAGTAATATGGGCTCCTAAATTAACACATTAAATATGCATTAATGATAAGACCTAGCATATTTTATTACAAACAGTATTTCGACGTATCTGCAAAACTCTGATGTGGTATGAAAATACCTGTGATTTCTCTGAGTGACAAACTCACAAGTTCTACTAATACTACTGTGGTTTGTTGTGTACATTTATAGTTGAGGGAAATGCTAAATTTTAGTCAGTAGTGAATGAAAATTTTTTTTTCCATCCGAGTTTCCATCCACTCCCTGGATTGTGTCCATTGCCCATGGATCCTAGGTTAAGAACCCCCACCTAAAACAACATAGTCCCAGCCTAGTAAGAGCTTAGAATCTAACTGGGGAAACGGCTAGAACAGGGAGCAAGCAGAATCTCCTGGAGGAAAGGGCAAAGGCGGAATCTGCACATTCTTTTAAATCGTAATTTACAACACAATTATACAATCTATAATTTCCATTTCTTTGTTTTCATTCACTATTTACTTAATTTTGAAATTTCAGGTAGTTTAAAGGAAGTCATGCCATATTTTCTTAAAGGTTGAAAAACACTTATCTAAAGCACATCCAGATAAACTAACATGATACAAGGACAAACGTATTTTTTTTAAAAAGTAAAAATATGAGTCAGTCCTCTGCTAGCCTCATTCATGCTGTGTCTTGAATACCTCCAGGGCCAGGCTGGTTCCCCACTATTACCTAGACTATCCAAAGCCTGATTAACATCCTAGACTGGCTGTCTTTCACCCCTTGTCCTTGGGGAAGCTAGTATTCTCCAGGCCCTTGCCTGGAGAGAGTGTATATGTTCTAGGTCTGGGAGGGACGTTGGAGAGTCATCCCGTATGATGTGCTCCCTGACTGGCTGAAGGACAATGACTACCTGCTGCATGGCCATAGACCACCCATGCCCTCCTTTCGGGCTTGCTTCAAGAGCATCTTCCGCATCCATACAGAAACTGGCAACATCTGGACCCATCTGCTTGGTGAGTGATTGGGATGGGGAACAATCCAATTTCTTGTTTCTTTAAATGCCAAGGGAATATATATACATATATATATATGTATATGTATATATATATATATGTATATGTATGGAAATATATATATGGGAAGGAAGAACAACAAAGTTGCTCTGATGGCTTGCTAGCTGGAGTTGTGCCTTTAAATTACCAGTGAACTTGGTTGACCTTGATCACTGATCTGTAAGACTAGGGCAGAAGGACTGGAAGAATTTGGAACTGGATGTTCTCTTGTGATCCCTTGCAGAACTGTTCTAGATGGAGGCAATTTCTTCTACTTTATAACTTCCCATTGTAAAAACAAAATGCCAGTATTTCAAAAAATTGTCTTTTTGTCTGGGTTTATATAGGACTGGTGCCATTTCCTCCTAAAATTTTAGACTGCAGTTACCACAGCTAAATCCTGTAGCTCACTGATTTAATACCATCAGTTATCTGACACTGTCAAAAAACACACATTTTCTGTCTCCTCACAGGCTTTTTTTCCCCCTCTCTCCCCATAGGTTTTGTGCTGTTTCTCTTTTTAGGAATCTTGACCATGCTCAGACCAAATATGTACTTCATGGCTCCTCTACAGGAGAAGGTGGTTTTTGGGATGTTCTTTCTGGGTGCAGTGCTCTGCCTCAGCTTCTCCTGGCTCTTCCACACCGTCTATTGTCATTCAGAGAAAGTCTCTCGGACTTTTTCCAAGTGAGTCAAAAACTATCAGTAGGACAAAACCATGCACTATTGTGACTCCAGTGCTGACTGGGTGCTGGGTATGCTAATAACTTGTAAAGATTCCCTGATATGCCAGAGGAGTGGCTTTCTGTTTTGTGGGTATAGTAAGGTGATGAAACTTTTCTCTTAAATCCTTCATGAGAAAAACTCACTGCAGCCTTGTCAGTAGCTGGAACCAATTGTGGAATATTTTTTCTACCTGCAGCAGTACAAAGTTGTGACTCATCCTTTGTGAAACTTAGATGCCACCGGGCTGCTTTCCAAGACTTTGTACCCAATATTAGCTTACCTTCCTGTTGGCCCAAGCCAAAGCAGGCCATGGTAAAGTATTCTGTGCTTCCTTCTGCTAGTGATCCTACCCACTCATCAAGTAAAGCTTATCTCTGCTGCCCACATGTTGCTGGAAGCCCCAGATATCCTCGTATAATGTGTTTTCCGTTCCCCAGCTCTGAGCCTGGGTTCTTACTTGTTTGCTTGTGGTCTCCTCCTTGCCCCCCTTCCACCCATTGTTGGTTTGGTTGTGATGGTGGTAGGTTGTTTTTGTTCTCCAATAACACCAGTAACTAAAAAAAGTTAACTAAAACAGAACAAGCTAAAGTATCCCTTGAGGACGTATAGGTCAATTGGCATAACATAGTTCATAATGAAAATGTTCTACATCCTACTTTGGTTAGTAGCATCTGGGGTCTTAAAAGCTTGCAAGTGGCCATCTAAGATACATCTATTGGTCCTATCCCATCCAGAGCAAAGGAGAATGAAGAAAACCAAAGATACAAGGAAAATATTAGTCCAAAGGACTAATGGACCACATGAACCACAGCCTCCACCAGCCTGAGCCCAGAGGAACTAGATGGTGCCTAGCTACCACCACAGACTGCTCTGACAAGGATCACAATAGCGGGTCCCAGAGCAGGAAAAAAATGTAGAACAAAATTCAGATTCACAAAAAAAGACCAGTCTTACTGGTCTGACAAGAGACTGGTGGAACCCCTGAGACTACGGCCCCTGGACACCCTGCTAACTCAGAACTAAAGCCACTCCCGAAGTCCGCCTTTCAGCCAAAGATTAGACAGTCTTATAAAACAAACAATAACAACACGTGAGGATTGTGCTTCTTAGTTCAATCAAGTATACAAGACCAAATGGGCAACGCTTGCCCAAAAGCAAAGATGAGAAGGCAGGAAGGGACGGGAAAACTGGACGAATGGACAAGGACACGAATGGACATGAATCCAGGGTGGAAAGGGAAGGGGGGAAAGTGCTGATGCATTGCAGGGATTGCAACTAATGTCACAAAACAATTTGTGTATAAATTTTTGAATGAGAAACTTAATTTGCGCTGCAAACTTACATAAAACACACACACAAAAGGTTTTCTAAATAAAGTTCCCCTTGATAATATTCCCAATATAAGTATTGCTTTTAGAACTCAACCTATTCAAAGCTGGAGAATATGCAGAGTCCTTCCCAAGTGTGTTGCTGGGAACCAGCTGGATCGGGACAGAACTCCTAAATTTAAGTATCCACCAGAGGAATGTAGCTGTTCACAAGTAAGGGAAAGGGATGAGGTTCTGTCATCAGGGAGTCTTAGAGACTTTTCCACTGTAAAACAGAAGTGATTGACCTTGTGGAATTTCAATCCAGGACACAGGATAGACTGTATGAGAGAGGGGGTAAGGGGAAGAAGCTGGAGATGGTTAAATCTGGGAGCAGGTAGAGAACAAAAACTGTTAATTGAGCTATAGCAATTCTTCATTTTGCCCACTGATTTGTTTCATCTTTGTTGCTGTTTTGTAGACTGGACTATTCAGGGATCGCTCTACTGATTATGGGGAGCTTTGTCCCCTGGCTCTATTACTCCTTCTACTGCTCCCCACAACCACGGCTCATCTACCTCTCCATCGTCTGTGTCCTGGGCATTTCTGCCATCATCGTGGCACAGTGGGACCGGTTTGCCACTCCTAAGCACCGGCAGACAAGAGCAGGTGGGTAAGAGGACATAGTATGCACCTCAGAGGGGTCTTTGGACCTTAGGCCCAAGAGGCTCAACCCTGGGGCCTAAGGTTTGTCACCCAAACCCTGATTTATGTTTGGAACTTTCAAAATAATGTGGATCTGCAAAGGTCATTTTCCCCAAAGTTTCATACTACTTCAGAAGAATGCAAATAGGATAGATCATTACCCAACTGGTCAGTTAACTACAGGCCTAGATATGACTGCTCTTGTCATACTTGGTTTAAGACAGTTAAGAATATGGCAGGCACAGTCATTTTTAGTAAATAAAGCCCTCAGCACTCCAACCAAGCAGTGAAAATGAAAACACCCAGATTTATCGACTAAGGGATTGGAAGGCTTGGTTTGGTGAAAAAGTACCTTAAGCATAAACACCAGTAACAGCTGATGTAATAGCTCTGAGCATGAACATCTTTATTTGTGTCGTCTTCTCTGGGCACTTATTTTAAGTTTTGATTACTTGCAACAACACCACCAATTACCACTAGTCTTCAGTCTCTTTAAAAACCGATGCCATGGAGTCGATTTCAACTCAGAGGACCCTATAGGACAGTAGAACTGCTCCATAGGGTTTCCAGGGAGCGGCTGGTGGATTCGAACTGCTGACCTTTTGGTCAGCAACCGAGTTCTTAACCACTGAGCTACCAGGACTCCTCAGTCCCTTTAGACTTCTTAAATCCACGCTTTAACCTTCAGTAAACAGAATTAAATATTTACCAAGTACCAACCATGTGCCAGGCACTGTGCTTAAACAAGGGTACCTACAGAGATAGAGAAGGTAGTCCCTGCCCTCTAGTTAAGTATAGTGTAGTTATGTGTAGGTAGTGGTGTTGAGACTGGTATCCATTCTTCCCTTGCTGTTGCTTTATTTGTGTGTCCCAGCAGCCACAGACAACTTCTAAGCTGGATTTATCTATCTACTCAGGAGGTCAGAGTCCTGGTTACTTAAGTCTTGTATGAGCTTAATGGGAAACCTGTCCTCTCCTTCTGTGGCTTGAGAACCAACTGAAGCCTTGAAACTTAGGTTCTGTACCTAAGCCAGTCATCAGAAGGTTTGACATACAATTTTCACCTATACTTCTTAACAGATAGTGAAGAATGTGAGATTTGTTCTTGGTGTTCCTTAAAAGTTAATAGCTACATAAGCACTTACACAGTCTTTTCCCCATTCTGGTTGTGGAAGAGATATCTGCTGGCTATTGTCCATCTGATGGCTAAATTTCCTAAATACGTACTATTCACCAAAAAACAACTAATTATCATAAAGATTTGGATTTCAGAGAAAGGCAAGCGTACCTTGCACGTAATGGCTGTTTCCTTCCCTGACAGTCTTATGTCTGCTTTGTTCAGGAGTGTTCCTGGGACTTGGCTTGAGTGGTGTTGTGCCCACCATGCACTTTACTATCGCTGAGGGCTTTGTCAAGGCCACCACAGTGGGCCAGATGGGCTGGTTCTTCCTTATGGCTGTGATGTACATCACCGGAGCTGGCCTGTATGCTGCTCGAATTCCTGAGCGCTTCTTTCCTGGGAAGTTTGACATATGGGTAAGGACTTCCTCTTCCCGCAGGGCCTGTGATTGCGTGTGACTGACGCAAAGTTAAAGGTCTGAGTAAAAGCTGGTAAGAGACATAGGAATCATTGAGTGTTTGGGGCTACATATATGTACATAGGGAAAAAAAGAGAAAAATTGAGTATCTTTGGGAAAGACTGTGTTTTTTAAATTTTCACAACAAATGTATCACTTTTATGATATAAAAAACATTTTTAAAGAGAAACTAGAAGAGGCAGATGCTTTCTCCTGCTTACTTCTAGTCCCTCTTTGCCATTATCCTAAAGGCTCTTCTCCTTTTGTTCTTGCAGTTCCAGTCTCATCAGATTTTTCATGTCCTGGTGGTGGCAGCAGCCTTTGTACACTTCTATGGGGTCTCCAACCTTCAGGAATTCCGTTATGGCCTAGAAGGTGGCTGTACTGATGACTCCCTTCTCTGAACCTTCCCACCAGAGGGGTGGAGGAGGAACTTCCCAAGTGCTTTTAAAAATAACTTCTTTGCTGAAGTGAGAGGAAGAGTCTGAGTTGTCTGTTTCTAGAAGAAACCTCTTAAGAGAATTCAGTACCAACCAAGCTTCAGCTCTCCTTCACACCCACTGGACAATGAACTTTCCATTTCCATTTCCCTAGCTGGGAAGGGAGGGGATGGTCTACCTTAGCCATCCCCCTCCTCAGCAAGGCACCTTGTCCCCTCACAGAGACAGTACTCTGAAGCTCATGTTGGGATTTTACCCCCTCTTCCAACCGTTTTGGGAAAAAATGATGGACTGGGACTCTTCAGAAATTCTGTTTCTGGAAGAAAATGTCCTTCCCTTACCCCCATCCTTTCTTTGTAACCTGGCTTACAGTGGGCCACCCATTTTTGTAGCACACTTTTCAAAAACAATTATAACCTGGTCCCATCTTTCTAGGGCCTGGATCTGCTTACACAGCAGGAAGAACAAAGCCACCAACTTTTACATAGCCCGGCTAATCATGGAAGTGGTTCAGGCTTCAAATAACTTGAGTTTTAATTTTTTTTTTTTTTCTTGGCAGAGTAATGTAAAATTAAAATGGGAAAAGATATTTAATATTTAATACTAAGCTTTAAAAAGAAACCTGCTATCGTTGCTATGTATCTTGATGCGAAGACTATGATGATAATAAAAGTACAGAGACACTTGACATTCAGAGATTTAACGTGTGGTCTCAACTATTTGTACACAACTCCAAAGGTCTAAAACCTGTGATAATTTCAGTTCCTGCTGAGGCATAAATTTGAATCGCAGGCACTGATAGGCTGTATATGTTGGCCAGTGAATGAACCTAACTGAATTTCTAACATCTCAATACAGCTTTATTTTTCTCTACTTATTGCACAGGCATTTTATGAGGAAAACTAGTATGCTATAGTGGTGTTAAATAATCAGAAGGTTCTCAAAGGTGTGGGATATATCCATTATGAATATCAAAGATCTATCAGGTAATCGATCTGCTTAGGGTTGTCTCATAAAGGGGTCATTCAATGCCTTTCTGTGCCTCTCTGAATTGTATTACTCAATGTGACGTGAGTTCTGTTCATTGGATAGCGTAAGGTCCAGCAGTAATCATTTCTCAGTAACATAGGCAGTTGAGAGTCTTCTGGGGTAATAAACTTGGATTCATGTCAACAGTCAAGTTTGTACAACTGGAATAGCAAATGATCCTTTTAAAAAATAATCCAACGAGGCCAACAGGAAAAGTTTCTCAGCTTCAAGTGGTAATTGGGGAAATGTAAATTAAAACCACAATGATATACCAGCCAGAATGGCAGAAATGAAAAACCCTAATAATACTAAGTTTAGGTACAGATGTAGAAGTATACATTGGTAGAACCACTTTGTGCTGATAATGTATATAGTATGTGTACATGTTACAACATTCAAACATTTCACGAGATGCATCTGATAGCTATCCCAGGTTACTTCATTAAAAAATAATATGCTGGTTCTGACCCACTGAATTGTTTTCATAGCTCATTAATGGGTCACACTCACAACTTGAAAAACACATTTTGAGAAACTTATACCAAAAGGTTCATTGCAACTGTTTGTAGTAGCAAAATACTGCAAACAACCTAAGTGTCCAAAGCTGCTGAATGGGAAAATAAGTCTTGGTTTATTCATATAATGGAACATTAACCAGGAAAATGAATGAATTACAGTGACAACAACATGGTTGAATCTGAGAAATAAGCTTCGGGGGAGGAGGCAGCTTACAGAAGAATGCATATGGTATGACTGCATTTATGTGAAGTTCAGAAATTGGCAAAACTAAAGATAGTTTTTTAATATCTAATATTTAATACAAAACAATTTTAAATTAAAAAAAAAAACTTTCAGAAACAGGATAAGTCACCAGCTGGAGCTGAGTAGCAATTGCCCTTTATAAACGGATTGTGCTGCCTACCTAGCCTGTTTCACCCACTGGAGTCAACTGCATGGCCCCTGAAGGCATCTGAGTTTGCAACTAGTAGCAAAGAAATAGAAGGAAGCTTAGGGACCGCATCTGATCCAATTCAGTAGCTGAAGCCTAGTGTCTGTGTTTATTTTTCAGTAGGAGACAGGACCAGGGAAAGTGAATCTTAAGAATAACATTTATTGAGCACCTGCTTTGGACTTTTCATATGTCATTTTATATTTTAGATCTTTAAACCTATAAAGTAGGTAGCAGTATCCCCATTCCACATGTGACAAAAATTAAGGCCCAAGAAGATCAAGGATATTTCCCAAGATGGCATACAAGATTGGAGCCAGATCATTCGAACTTAAGCCTCATGTGCAAAAGTCTCAGATCACACAAAATTCCTTTTGCTCCTGATTTCATATCTGACTTTGTCCTTATCAAAACTGCTAACTAGCAGCAAGTTGCCTTCCTTCTCTAACCTATCTAGTTCATTCATTCACTTCCTAAATACTTACTGAGGACCTGCTATGTGCCAGGTACCATAGGAGAAAAATGATGTGACAAAAATGCTGATGAGCTGTAATTAAAGGAAGACCAAGAACAGAAGCTAAGAATTTGACTCTACCTCTTTCAGTAAATAAAAAATTGGGTGATTAACGGCTATCTCTACGCCATCCATTTTATTTTATTTTTTTTATTTTTTCCCATACACAAATTTATACATACATTGTTATGTGACTCTAATTGCTCTCCCCATACTGTGACAGCACACTCCTCCTTTCCACCCGATTCCCCATGTCCATTCAACCAGCTGCTGACCCTCTCTGCCTTCCCATCTCCCCTCTGGACAGAAGCTGCCCATTTAGTCTCTTGTATCTACTTGAGCTAAGAGGCACACTTCTCATGAGTATCACTTTATGTCCCACAGTCCAGTCCAATCCCTATCTGAAGAGTTGGCCTTGGAAATTGTTTTAGTTCTGAGCTGATAGAGAAGCCAGGGGCCATGCTTTCCGGGGTTCTTCCAGTCTCAGACCATTAAGTCTGGTCTTCTTACTAGAATTTGAGTTCTGTACCCCACCTTTCTCCTGCTCCATCAGGGACTCTGTTGTGTTCCCTGTCAGGGCAGTCATTGATGGTAGCTGGGCACCATCTAGTTCTGGTCTCAGGCTGATGAAGTCTCTGGTTTATGTGGTCTATTCTGTCTCTTGGGCTAATACTTTCCTTGTGTCTTTGGTGTTCGTCATTCTCCTCTACTCCAGGTTGTTGGGACCAATTTATGCATCTTAGATGGCCACTTGCAAGCTTTTAAGACCCCAGATGGCACTCACCAAAGTAGGATGCAGAACATTTTGTTAATAAGCTTTGTTATGACAGTTGACCTAGATGTCCCCTGAAAGCATGGTCCCCAGACCTCTACTCCTGCTACTCTGTCCTTCGAAGTGTTTGTATTCAGGAAACTTCTTAGCTTTGGTTTAGTCCAGTTGTGCTGACTTCCCCTGTAGTGTATGCTGTCCTTCCCTTCACCTAAGATAATTCTTATCTACTATCTAGTTAGTAAGTAACCCTCACCCTCCCTCCCCAACCACATAACCATCAAAGAATGTTTTCTTCTGTGTTTAAACCTTTTCTTGAGTTCTTATAATAGTGGTCTTATACAATATTTGCACTTCTGTGACTGACTAAATTGATTCAGCATAATGACCTCCAGCTTCCTCCATGTTATGTTTCACGGCTTCATCGTTGTTCTGCATCGTTGCATAGTATTCCATTGTGTGGATATACCATAATTTGTTTATCCATTTGTCCGTTGCTGGGCACCTAGGTTGTTTCCATCTTTTTGCTATTTTGAACAGTGCTGCAGTGAACATGGGTGTGCATATATCTATTCGGGTGACGGCTCTTATTTCTCTAGGATATATTCCAAGGAGCGGGATAGCTGGATCATATGGTACTTCTATTTCTAGCTTTTTAAGGAAGCACCAAATCGATTTCCAAACTGGTTGTACCATTTTATATTCCCACCAACAGTGTATAAGTGTTCCAGTCTCCACAACCTGTCCAGAATTTATTTATTTATTTATTTTTGGATTGAAAAAATACCCTTGTTGGGGTGAGATGATATCTCATTGTAGTTTTGATCTGCATTTCTCTAATGGCTAATGATTGTGAGCATTTCTTCATGTGTCTGTTAGCCACCTGAATATCTTCTTTGGCGAAGTGCCTGTTCATATCCTTTGCCCATTTTTTAACTGGGTTATTTGTCTTTTCGTTGTTAAGGTTTTGCAGTATCTTG